ATCACACTGTGACCCTGTTGTGCATGTCTTGACCCAAGGAGTTGTAGATCAAGCCTGTTTTCTGGATCACTGCTTTTAAAATGTCCTGTGATTTGAACTGGCCAAGCCTTTGGTGTGGTGGATGAGGAATAGCTTGGCAGAGGCAAAAAGCCTGAAAAGTTTTAGACTGTTGTGGTGGCAATGTGTGCTTGCTCTTGGTTTGCATATTGTAGTGGCCCAAGAAAGGGGCTAAGGACTGCTGTGTGCAGAGGAGACAGCAGCCTGGGTCTGCAGAGGGACTAGTTCAGGCAAGGAGAAGCCCACAGAGAGCATTGCTGCAAAACCCAGCTCTGCTGACCCCTAAAGTGAGCTGCGTTGCCTCAGGAGACAAGGAGACAGCTCAGGAGCAGCAGGCTCTGACAGACAGCCCAGGAGCACAGCCAGCAGACAGTGCAAGGAGCCCTGCTCCTCTTTCCCTGGGTTGTGGGTATTGGATGCCCTCTGGCTGGCTGGGAGCTGACACATCCTTTGGTTTCATTTTCCAGGGCACCCTCGAAGATCAAATCATTGAGGCCAACCCAGCAATGGAAGCTTTTGGCAATGCCAAAACCATCAGAAATGACAATTCCTCACGCTTTGTAAGTGGCTGGGCAACAGGGAGGGCTGAAGTGCTGTGGTTCTGTGAGGTGAACCTGTTGCTTGTCGTGGGGTGGGTTTGTGCAGTGTGAGCCCAAGGCACCTAGCAGGAAGCTTGCTCTGCTCCTGGTGGGGTTGGACTGCTGAGGTCAAGCTCCTCCTGGTGACCTCAGTGCAGTCCACGGGGCACTGGTCAGAGTGAATGGCCCTGGTGGCACAGGCCATGGCTGGAGAGAAGGCCCTGAGAGGACCAGCAAGCACAGCCTGGAGTGCTGGAGCTGGGATGGACAAGGGTGCCTCTTCCTGGGAGCAGCACCTTTTTCTCTAAGCCCAGCCTGGGTCTGCTGTGGGGGGCAGAGCTCATCAGCCAGGGGTGCTGATTTTGGACAACTTCACCCACCTACACCTCACAGAGCCCAGTAACTTGCCTGGCATTGGCAGAAGCCCAAGAAGTGGGAAATTACCAGTGCCTTGTGGATGTCTGAGGTTTCTAGGTGCTGCTCAGTATTGTACCTGTGTAGCCAAGCCCTGCACTTACTTCTTGTGCATTTTCAGGGCAAGTTCATCCGGATCCACTTTGGCCCCTCTGGGAAGCTGGCCTCTGCAGACATTGACATCTGTGAGTAAACACGTGCCAGCTTGGTGGGGAGGGCTGCCAGCTTGCTGCTGGTGCTGGTGCTGGCTCAGCTCCAGGAAGGAGCAAGCCCTCCTCTAACCCCTCTGCCATATTTGATCCTAGATCTTCTGGAAAAATCAAGAGTGATTTTCCAGCAACCCAAAGAGCGAAGCTACCACATCTACTACCAGATCCTCTCTGGGAAGAAGCCAGAGCTGCAAGGTAAGGCAGCCAAAGGTGCAGCATAGCCTGTATAGCATGATGGCCTTAAGATAGCCACAGAGACCTGTTGTCAGTTTTGGAGTCCACAGGGAATGAGCAAACACTGCTCATCATGCAGGTGCCACCCTCTGCTTTGCTAGATGAGCAGGGCCAGAGGATTGGCAGATAATACAGGGTGGAAGGCATCTCAAAATGTCACCTAGTCCAGCCTCCTTTATCCTCACAGCCTGGGAACCCAGACTAAAGCCCTTCCTGCAGCTGTCTAGGAGCAGAGGAGTGGTCACCCAGGGTCTGTCTGCAGGGTGGGATGTAGCTTTGCAATGCTGCTTTGCATGAAGTCCACATCGTGGGGTGGGTTCAGCACTGACCTGAGCACGTGCAGGCTGGATAGTTACTCATTTGGGGCTTGGAGGAAGTGCTTTGCAGCCCACTCTGAGCCACCCTGGAGAGATGTCCTGTTTCAGGTGAGCTGGAAAACAGCCCCCCAGCTCACTCGCAGCAGCAGCCCTGCTGTGGACACGTCCTAGATGTGTTCCCCAGGACAGTCCCAGCTGGCCCCAGTGTGCACTGGGGCAGTCCTGTGCTCCCAGCAGCCCTGCCCTTCGGGTGGGCTGTGTCCCCTGGGGTGGGCAGCCTGTTGGCTGCAGGCTCTTGAGCTTATTGCTGGCTCGAGAACAATACCTTATTAGGCAGGTCTGGAGAGCTGTGAAGAGCAGTAATCTTATCTGGTGGTCACAAGGACATGGATGGCCACTTCTAAATCAGTCTGCAGCCAAGCCATATCCCAAGATAGCAAGCAGGAGACACATCACAGAAGAGATGGATCCATGTGTGGACCTGCCTGGGCTTGGAGAGGCTGTTCCTCCCACGGGCTGGTGCCCTCTAGTCGAGGCTCATGAAGCCTTTACCTCTTCACCTGCACCCAGGGTTGCCTCTCTGCTCCAGCTTGTTCTCTGCCAGAACTGGCCTCACCCTCTGCATGTCTTCCCCCAACAGATATGCTGCTGCTCTCCCTCAACCCCTATGACTACCACTTCTGCTCCCAGGGTGTGACAACTGTGGACAACCTGGACGACGGCGAGGAGCTGATGGCGACAGACGTACGTGTGCTTCCTTCCCACACGTGGGCAGGGGCCTGGGGCAGGGCACAACCTCCCCCTGGGCACACGTGTGGAGGTGTGCTGGCTTTTCTCTGTCCCTTGAGTTCCCTCTGGCTTGTTGGCAGTCGCTCTACACCATCTGTGAGCCTGCAAGAACGGGCAGAGTGACTCTGATCTCCATCAACAGCCTTCTCTAGGCAGAGAGGAGAGAGTAATTCCCCCCATTAGGGAGGGCCTGGAGCACATGAGCACTTGCCATGAGAGGATGAGACCATGGCTTGGAAAATCTCCTGCTTGGGGATGTTGGGCTAGCCTTTTTGCTTTCAAATAGCTCTTGTGGGAGCTGGACTCCCATTCAAAATCCCATGGACAGGATTCCTTGGCTAAGTGCCCACTGGGTAGAGCACTCTGCCCCGACCTCCAGGGTAGGGAGAGCACCTTAGGAGAAGGTGGGGGGACTGCCCTCACCTCAGAGTGGTTATTTTGTCCTGTGTATGTTGCCTTGTCTCTCCTCAGCACGCCATGGACATCTTGGGCTTCAGCAACGATGAGAAGTATGGCTCCTATAAAATAGTGGGGGCTATCATGCACTTTGGCAACATGAAGTTCAAGCAAAAGCAGCGAGAGGAGCAGGCAGAGGCTGATGGCACTGAAAGTGAGTTGGGCTCTGTGCTGCCAGATCTCCCCAGCCCAGCCTGAGGGTGCAAACCTCCCCAAGGGCAGGCTGTGATAACTTCTCTAGCCTGGTCTGTGAAGATCAGTGGCCATGATTCCAAGCAACCACACTGCCCTAGGACCTGCTGTAGTGCACAAAGGGCTTATCCTAGGAGTGGGCATGTTTAGGACAGCCTCTGTCTGCAGGCATTAGGAGGTTTCATGTGCATCAGACTTGCCTCAGCAGCATCACGGGCTGTCAAGCCCTGGCTGTGCTGCATCTTGTTCAGTCTTCTTCTCTCACACTTCATTACACAGCCTTCCAGGACAGATTGCCCACAGAATATGAGCCAGGTCATGATCAGGACTGCAAGTTCTACTCCAGTCAGCCTCCTGAGTGGTAGTTAGAGTAGAATACAGCAACTGTCTAATACTTGCCCTCATTTGTTGCTGAGGAACATCCAGAGCAAATCACAGACCCCAGAGAGCAGTCAGGCTGCAGAGCCAACCTGAAAATTCAGACAAGTCAAAGCTCAAATATTTTTTATTGCTTTGGCACTGACTGGCTCCTAGGCATAATGGAGCAAGCTTCAAGCAGAGGGTGACTTCCCAGCACGTGGAAGGATGAGAAGGGGAATCCCTGTCACTTAACTGGAAGGTTTAAGCAGTAACTGTACCTCAGCTGAGGCATGGATCCAGCAGAAATGACCACCTGGCTCAGAGCTTGTCTTGCTGGCATTCATGGAGGAAGAGTTCCCCTTGCCTGAGGAATCTCCACACAGGATTCAGGTGCTAGCTGGTAATTAAAGAACATTTTGATGAGCAGTGGTTTCCCTGCAGAGGTGATTTTCAAGATACAATCTGCTGTTAGAAGATGATAGGCAAGTAATTCACCTCTCTTCTGCTCAGATCCAATTCACTGCATGGGATTCCAAGCTTCCACTGGAAAATACATAGTGGTCCCAGATCAAGAAGACTCAAAAACCTGATTGATAGACAACTAATAAGGTGCAGCAGGCCTGCTGTGGCCATCTCTGCCAAACAGTAGCTTCTTGGGCAGGAGGGCCACACTTTTAAAGCCTCCTACAACATCCAAGATAGGAAATCACACCAGTCACTGGAAGAGACTCCAGAGCAGGAGGAAAAACTAGGATAGGTGGCATTCATCCGTGGAAGAGCTGGGAGTTTTTATTGTCCTTTTTTTCCTTCTCAGGGCTTCCTTGCTGGCTCCTCATGCCTCTGTACTGTTTTACAGGTGCTGACAAAGCTGCCTACCTGATGGGCATCAGCTCAGCTGACCTCATCAAGGGCTTGCTCCACCCTCGTGTGAAAGTGGGCAATGAATACGTGACCAAAGGTCAGAATGTGGAGCAGGTGAGTGTGCCAGGACAGGGGCTCCCTGCCTGTGCTGGGAGGTGACTCCTCTGCAGGCAGGCCCATTGCATAGTGCTCTCTGCACAGGGTGACTGGTGCTGCAGTTCATACTCTTGGGTTTAAGGGGAGACTCCAGAGCAGTGTGAGAAGATGTATCTGCAGTTAGTGGCTTTTAGCAGCTGGGGATGTTGGTGGCAGAGCTGAGAGATAACTTTGGATATTAACCAAGGCTGGAAGTTCATTGTAGTGTCTGTGAAGTGTGGGTTGGATCACAGGCAGAAGAGGTCCAGTTTCTATGGATCTGCTTCAGAGTCACACTCCTGTGAAGAGTTCAGCTCTGGGGAGCAGAAAACTCATCTTAATATTAATCTGAAACTCATCTAAACTGTTCTTGTGGGAAACTCAAATGCACCAACACTTGCATCTTCTCAGATTCCAGCCACATCTCAGTTAGGAACCCAAACCTGGCCTGAATAGTGCAAGCCAGTCCTCTGGTAAAATTCAAGAGGACTTTAGAAGCTGGTGTCTTATCCAAAATGAGCTGTAGGCTCCTGCCATGCACAAGGCTTCTGAAAATATCATTTAGACTGAATCCTAGGGCCTGGAGTCTAAGACCAGGACAGGGACACAAGAACACACTTGTGAGCATGTGAAAAATCGTGGAGCACATACTGTAGGCGTGAACTCCCCGGATCTGTCTGTCTGCCCTTTGTGTGCCAAGAGGAACTCTATTCTTCAGCCTCTAGCTCCTCTGAAAGTGGGGAGAAGCCTAAATGCAGCTGAGCTCTCTGTGATTTGCTTTGGCAGGTTGTCTATGCTGTGGGAGCCCTGGCTAAAGCCACCTACGATCGCATGTTCAAGTGGCTGGTGACTCGGATCAACAAGACCCTGGACACCAAGCTGGCCAGGCAGTTCTTCATTGGAGTGCTGGACATTGCAGGCTTTGAGATCTTTGATGTGAGTTCTGCATGGATTTGCAATGGATTTGGGGAATGTTGTAGCTAGGCAGCTCAGTCTCCTAGTGTCTGACAGCTCTATGTCCCTCAAGAAACTCCTGGCCTTGAGAAGAAGGAGAGCTCTTGTCTGAATTGGTTTATCTGGAGCAAACAGGCAGCTCACAAGAACTGTTGTAACATTGCTGTGGGCACATCTCCAATAATTCCTGGCTACTTGCTCTGGTAGCAATCCAGCTGAGCCTAGCAGAGATCACTCTTCACATTCAGGAGTGAATCCTTTCATGTCTGCAGCTCCTCCTGATGCAGGTTTGGTTTGTTCTTGCAGTTCAACAGCTTTGAACAGCTGTGCATCAATTTCACCAATGAGAAGCTGCAACAGTTCTTCAACCACCACATGTTTGTCCTGGAGCAAGAAGAATACAAGAAGGAAGGCATCGAATGGGTCTTCATTGACTTTGGCCTGGACCTGCAAGCTTGCATTGACCTGATTGAGAAGGTAAAGCATGAGTCAGGAGAGCATGAGCACAGGAAAGGTACTTCTGGTAGGCAGCTATTTTGCAAAGACTGGAACAGAAATGAAATTATTCCTTCCCCAGTCAATGGCAAGTGCCCAGCTTTGCTTTCCCCACACTTACAGCTCAGAGCCTCCAGCCCATTGATGCCATTTTGACACAAATTTTGACTTGATGAAACTACAGAAATTCTTTTCCTCCCCACCAGTGAGCCACAAAACCTGGTGTGGCCTTTTTCTACAGAGAATGGTGATCTCTGCCCCTCTTTTCTTACACACTTGCTGCCCCTCAGTGCCTCTTAATTGAGTGCTTGCTGATTCTGAGCAGCTTGTAAAAAAGATTTTCACCATTGCATCTCAGAAACTCACCTTTTTTTTGGAAAGCAGCAAACCTGTCAGGGCACAGGAGAGGATTTCCCCTTCCCAACAATCTGATGGACCCAGGCAAGGCCCTGTGTCTTGCAGGCCTGGCCAGCACTACTCTGGCAGCTGCAGCCTGGAATCCACCAGTGATAGCTTGCCCCATGGTCAATGTCTTGCATCACTTGCCTGAATGAGGGTGAGGTCTCCCAGGTCAAGCCTCACCTCACCTCACCCATTGGCACAGAGAATCCCCTGCTCCGGGATGGGTAACGCTGAGCTCAGACCTCTTCCCACCCCTTTCTCCCTGCAGCCAATGGGAATCCTGTCCATCCTGGAGGAGGAGTGCATGTTCCCAAAAGCCTCTGACATGTCCTTCAAAGCTAAGCTCTACGACAACCACATCGGGAAGTCGCCCAACTTCCAGAAGCCGCGGCCGGACAAGAAGCGGAAATACGAGGCCCACTTTGAGCTGGTGCACTATGCTGGGGTGGTACGTGTCCCTCCAGCCCTGCCAGGGCCCTCACACCTTCCCCCGGGCAGGGCTGCCCTCACCTCTGCCCCTCCTCTGCTGGCAGGTGCCGTACAACATCATCGGGTGGCTGGACAAGAACAAGGACCCTCTGAACGAGACAGTGGTGACCGTCTTCCAAAAGTCCCAAAACAAGCTCCTGGCCTCCCTCTATGAGAACTACGTGGGCTCTACTTCAGGTGAGGAACAGCCTCATCCCTTTTTTGGCCCTGGTCTCTCCCTCCCTTTGCAGCAAAGCCTCCTCACCCCCACGCCCAGCTGTTGGTGCAACGTTCCTGCACCTAGCAGCCCAGGCAAGGGGAAGACCCACACTGACCCCTAAAAACTCTTACCTGGGTATGTTGGTAAACTGGACATGCAGTGCTGGCTGAGGGGCTTCAGGTGGGTGGTTAAAAACAGGCTGAGCTCATGTGGTGCTATAGAGCTGTCCTGGTGGCCCTGTGACTTGAGATGTGTGTAGGGCTCTCCTGTTACCAAGGCTTGAGGAGCAACACCCAGAGGTGGGTGCTGTGGGAGATGGTTTTGGTCATCTGTGGCTTTCCTCCGCAGGAAGCTTTACAGAGAGCAGGGGCTGTGGGCATTTCGGGAGGGCTTGGGGGTGCTCCTGAGACCTCCAAGCCAAGCAGATACTTTGCTGATGTAATTAATCAATCTTTCAATCCAACAGAGGAACCTCACAAGCCAGGGACCAAGGAGAAGCGTAAAAAGGCAGCTTCTTTCCAAACGGTGTCACAGCTGCACAAGGTAAGAGCCAGCTCCTCATCTAAGGCCATGAGGGCATGCTCAGAGTGTCCCAGTGTCAGCCCCACTTCCCTGCCAGGCCTCTGGGGCACCTTGCACATGAGCTTCTGGGGCCTGAGGGACCACCAGGGCTCCTGAGGGACCACCAGGGCTCCTGAAGGACCACCAGGGCTCCTGAGGGACCACCACTAGGCAAAAGCTTCTAACACCACCTTGTCCCCAGGCAAGGGGCCTGTGCCTGGCAGTGTCCCAGCCCTGTCCCCATGCTGCTAGGGAGGGACGTGGGGCTCCAGGCTGGGGGAGAGGTGGCTCCTTTGGGCTGGGGCTCGTGCTGCTCCTGCCCACGTGACGCTTGCGCTGCCCGGCAGCTCCTTCACCTTTGAGAGAGAGGCAGTTAAGACTTGTAGTGATGTTTAGATAATGTATTACATGAACATCACTTTAAGTCTGTGCTACTTCTCTCCTCATTCTTGTCGCCGGGAAGGACAGCCTTGGGGCAGAAGAAAGTGGAGGAGGATCTTACAGGTCTCTGAGCAGGCAGCTCTCTGCTGCGCTGTCCAGGAAGGTGACCTGAGCAATTTTACAGCTCAGGGTAGCACACCCCCCTCTTCCCATGCCCACCACAGGAGTTACTTGTCCACCCCAGTGCTTAAGCAACTGGAAAACAGCACAGAGGGGTGGGTGAGCCCAAAGCTGTGTCCTGCCATGGCAGCCTTGTGGTGACAGGGTGCTCAAAGAGGGCAGCGCTTGTGTCAGAGCCCCCGTTCAGGGTCACACGTGACTTCCTTCCTCTTGAACAAGTCACAGGCCTTGGGGAATCATGTCTGTGGCAAGAAGTTGTCCCATGATGATGTGGAAGTGTGGGAAGCTGTTCCTATCCCTGAGCTGGCCCTGGACAGGCTGAGCCTGTCCGAGTAGGAGAAGGCAGCCTGGAAAGATGCAGGTGCCCTTCCACAAGAAAAGGCAGGGCCAGGGCTTGGCTTGAACCTGGCCTTGGAGAGAAAAGGAGGCCCAGGCTGGATCAGCAGGACCCTCTGTCATGGCCAAGGGGCACGGGCAGCACTGTGGAGGTGCAGGGAAAACCTGATGAGGTGGTGACTGCAGCCCATTTGGATGCCAGCACTGGATTTGCAGCATGCTGAGCACAGGCTGGTGGGCACCAGCAGAGTTGTGTGCCAGAACATGCTCAGTCCTGTGTTCCTGGCTCTCCCCCACAGCAAAACTTTACCTACAAACAGCTGGGAAGCATCTGGCTCTGGTGTAGGCAAAACCTGCAGGTGCCATTTGGCACATCTGCCAGGCCAGTCCCCTCAGGCATTGCTCCCACCCTGGCAAAGGCCATGGTCCTGCTGTGGGGCTGGGGATGTCCTGCTGGCAGGACAGTACAGAGAGCAGCCAAGCAGGAGGACATTCCCCCTCTCTCATGGGGAGTGGTAAGGAGCTCTCAGGGTCTTCTCTCTCCCTGCCTGTGGGGAGAAGGGGCTGGAGGGGAGTGCTGTAGGCGAGCAGAGCTGTCACCTGATGCCTCACCCCCTGTGTCTGCCCTGCAGGAGAATCTCAACAAGCTGATGACCAACCTGCGCTCCACTCAGCCCCACTTTGTCCGCTGCATCATCCCCAACGAGACAAAGACCCCAGGTACACATGGGCTGAGACAGCACCTGGGCAGTTCCCTTGGGTGCCATCCACCCAGCTACACATGGGCTGAGACAGCACCTTGGCAGTTCCCTTGGGTGACATCCACATGTGGGACCTGCTGGGGCCTCTCTCACCCACCTTCTCCCCAGCCCTTCTCATGCAGCCGTTCCGTTGCCGCTGAGACCGGGCCCCATCTCGGTGTGGACCCCCTGTGACCCATGCCAGTCTCCTCTCCTGGGGAGAAGGAGTTTTGCCAGGCTCCTGTTTTGGCTGTGATGGTTGAGCTGCCCTGTACTCGGGTGCAGCAGCAGGCACAGATGATTTCAGGCTGATTGCCACCACCCAAGGCCCAAGCTGCAGCGCTGGTGGTGAACGTCAACCTAGAGGAGAGGCCAACACCCGTGTTCAGAACCTTGGGCTGTTCCCAGAGCCCAGGCCCATGCTGCAGCTCCATTTCCCCTGTCCTCGTGGGCTGAGTGTCTGCTCCACACTTGTTGTCCCCCTCAGGGGCCATGGATGCCTTCCTGGTGCTGCACCAGCTGCGGTGTAACGGTGTCCTGGAAGGGATCCGCATCTGCCGCAAGGGCTTCCCCAACAGGATTCTCTACGCAGACTTCAAGCAGCGGTAACTCTTCTTCCTTCCCCAGCAGCCATGGTGTACTCTGGGGGGGAGAGAGAGACCTCATGGCTCTGACCTGCTCCCCAGCTCGTGCAGGGTTGGTCTGAACCACCACGACGCGCCCGGTGCGTGCACAGCCTGGGACAGCTCTGCTGCTGGCTCTGTGGTGCCAGATGGGGATGGTTTGGTGCTGGACATGATGAGGGAGCAGAGCTGGTGGTGTTTGAGGTGCTGAATGCAGGGTTGGAGCAGTTGGGTGATGGCAAGGCTCAGGTCCTCCAAATCTGGTTCAGATTTCTCTCTGCCTGTGGGATTTTCATCATTCTCCAGGCTGGTCCCATCCACCCTGCTTGGACTGAGCCTGGCCAGGAGTAGTGAGGCCAGTGGCCTCCTCCTGCAGTCTTCCTTCTGCTCAGGGACTCAGATCTGGCAGGGCTCCCTGGTATCTGCTCTGCAGAAGAGCCCATACTGGGCCCTGGAGCTCCTGGTCATACAGGGCTCCAGCTAGTGCTGCAGCCATGTGCCTCAAGGGGGAACTGGTGTGAGTAGGGCACCGTGTGGGTTGAGCCATCAGCTCTGTGCTGGGGTTCTCTTGCATGTCCTCCCTCTGCTTTGCTCCTACAGCTACCGTATCCTGAATCCAGCAGCCATCCCAGATGACAAGTTTGTGGACAGCAGAAAAGCCACAGAGAAGCTGCTGAGCTCCCTGGAACTGGACCACTCACAGTACAAATTTGGTCATACCAAGGTGAGACCAGGCAGATGGTTTTTAGGAGGGAGACATTGCCCCTCCTGTCTCTCTGCAATCCCAGTTAGGTCTCCATGCCCAGCTTGCTCTCTGCCTGACCACAGCCCTGCTGAAGCCCTCTGCTCTGCAGATTGCATGTGGCCCTTGAGGAGCCTCAAGGGAGCTCCTTGAGGAGCTTGAGGAGGGTGGAGGAGGAAACAGGTTGGGAAGAAACAGGTCTGAGCAGAAGGTCACTGCTGCCTGACCTCATATCACCCAACACAGCAGCTAGTCCCTGCTGGGGGATGTGAGGGGACGTGCAGGGCAGGGAGACCTGGTGCCCTCCAACCAGTGCAGAGCATGGATGTGTGCCCCAGCACAGAGGGCACCTAGACCTGTGTAGCCCTCGCTGCTCTCCGTGTCCTGCTTTGGGCTGTGTGTAGCCCAGGTCTGCCTGATGTGCTCTGTTCCCCCTGAGCCCTCTGTCCTCTCCAGGGTTGACTGATCTCTTGCCCCCAGGTGTTTTTCAAGGCTGGTTTGTTGGGCTTGCTGGAGGAGATGCGAGATGAGCGTCTGGCCAAGATCCTGACCATGCTGCAGGCCAGAATCCGCGGGCACCTCATGCGCATTGAGTACCAGAAGATCATCAGCAGAAGGTAGAGTTATGGGGGGAAGAGGCAGAACTTTGTGAGAATTTCTCCTTGCTCCTTCTGCACATTTCAGTGGGTTTGACCTGTGGGGCTTGCCTGTGATGGGCAGTGGTCAGGTAAGGCCCTGTCTGGGTGGGATGGAGGCAGAGGTCCTGGAAGAGGTCTGCCATGGGCCTCTGGAAAGGAGGGCTGGTGTATCCAGGTGGGAGGAGCTTTTGGTTTCTTTCCACTGGAAGATTCAGAGGGATGCAGGGTGAGGAGACCTGACTGCCAGGCCACACCACCCACCCCATTAGGGCCACTGCAGTGTGCAGACAATGTGCATTCAGCATACCTGGTGAAGAACAGAGCCATGTCCAAGCCTGCAAAGGCCAGGCCCGTGCTGCAGGGAGGATGGGAGGTAGGGAATCTACATGATGATGATGTACTTGTATCTTTCCAGGGAAGCCCTCTATACCATTCAGTGGAACATCCGGGCCTTCAATGCTGTCAAGAACTGGTCCTGGATGAAGCTGTTCTTCAAGATCAAGCCTTTACTCAAGTCTGCTCAGACAGAAAAGGAAATGTCCAACCTGAAGGAGGAGTTCCAGAAGCTGAAGGAGGCTCTGGAGAAGTCTGAGGCTAAGAGGAAGGAGCTGGAAGAGAAGCAGGTCTCCATGATCCAGGAGAAGAATGACCTGGCTCTCCAGCTGCAGGCAGTAAGTGCCTCACCCCCCCTGTGGAACTGTAAAGGTGGTGCAGAGTCCATGGGTAGAAGAAGAAGCAGAGTGTGCTAGATCCCTCCCTCAGCCTGTTGCAGTTCTGAGGCCCCCTCATTGCCACAACCTGTTCAAAATGCAATGTCAGACTCGGTGGGAACCTGAAGCAACATCACAGGCTTGCCACCTCAGGGCTGCTGTGAGGACTCATGCTCCCCTGGCTCTGCAGAGGGTGACCTCCTCACACTGGGGTGGGAGGGCTGGCAATGTTTGCTTGCCAGGCTGTGGCTAATCTGGGCCATTTCTGTGCCAGGAGTTTTCAGCCCAGCATTTCCTTTGGAAAGTTTAGTAGCTGTTAGCTCTGTGGCTCTGGCTAGTGCTGGTGGTTGTCCCATGACCCTTGAAAACAGGCAGTGACTGGAGCTGTCTTTTTCATCCACAAAAAATCACCTCAGACTCACTCTGCCCCTTCCACCATGGGAGCTTCTGCTCCCAGCCAGGATAGCACGGCTGAGAGCCTGCTGGCATGCTCCTGGGGCAGGGGATGAGCACTGCCTCTCCTGTGCCTGTCCCAGGAGCAAGACAACCTGGCAGATGCAGAGGAACGCTGTGACCTGCTGATCAAGTCCAAGATCCAGCTGGAGGCCAAGGTGAAGGAGCTGACAGAGCGTCTGGAGGATGAGGAGGAGATGAACTCAGACCTCACCGCCAAGAGGCGCAAGCTGGAGGATGAGTGTGCAGAGCTGAAGAAGGACATTGATGACCTAGAGATCACACTGGCCAAGGTGGAGAAGGAGAAGCATGCCACAGAGAACAAGGTGACTGATCCTCCCTGTGGAGTGCAGCCTCATTGCCCTGGGGCTGCAGAGCTTATGGGGGCACCAAAGGGAAACATCAGGGATGAGGCTGCTGGAGTGTGGGAGCTGGGGCAGGACACAGTGCCAAGAGGTGAAAGATCCAGCAAACCCCTCTGGTGTCCCTCTGGTGTCCTGCCTCATGGCACAGGAGTGGGTGGGCAAACAGTTCTGTGCAATGGCAAGTGTTTGGGATGCTGACAAGCCACCTGGTGGAACCAGCCTGGCCCAGCAGAGAGGGGCTGGCTGCTGCTGCATGCCAAGCTGCTGTTGATCAGGGACTTCTGCCTTTCATGGCTCAGGCTGCTGTATTAGCTCTGCATGCTCTCTTCCTGAGAAGGTGTACTCAATTTTTTAACTCGCTGCTCTAGGTTAAAAACCTGATTGAAGAGATGGCTGCTCTGGACGAGATCATTGCCAAGCTGACCAAAGAGAAGAAAGCACTGCAAGAGGCCCATCAGCAGGCCCTGGATGACCTGCAGGCTGAGGAAGACAAGGTCAACACACTGACCAAAGCCAAGGTCAAACTGGAGCAGCAAGTGGATGATGTGAGTCATAGGCCAGTGACAGTGAAGTGAGAGAGGTTTGAGTCACAGTTCTGGGAGACCCCAGAGAGCTGTCCCTGAGCTGGAGAGTGAGATCACTATCAGATCCCCATTTAATATGTCCAGCTGATGAATAACCCCATTGACAAACTGCCCCTGAACCAAGAGGTGGTCTAGAGTACCTCACTGAGAGCAGTCCTGGGCTGAGGGAGTGGACTGGAGACCAACTAGGAAGCAGCTCTGGCTCTCGGGGCTGGGTGAAGTTCCCACAGTAATGGATATGGGGAAGGTTTGGGCTAGAGAGGGTCCTTTCCCTCCCTACCCTGTCTCCCTTTATTCTCCAGCTGGAAAGCTCTCTTGAACAAGAAAAGAAAGTCCGCATGGACCTGGAAAGAGCAAAGAGGAAGCTTGAAGGAGACCTGAAGCTGACACAAGAGTCTGTAATGGATCTGGAGAATGACAAACAGCAGCTGGAGGAGAGACTCAAAAAGTAAGTGTGATACATGCCTGGGCTCTGTACTCACTCTGCCAGGCCAGAGCCCACCTCTAAACTGAGTGGTCTCTGAGGGGCTGCTGGGTGGTGGTTTTGGGCACTGCTGGTGTGATCAGTCCAGGCAAAATGAGGGCTTGGATTTCCTGCAGAGTTGCTGAGGAGCTTGTCAGCAGCAGGGTAGTGGGTCAGGCAGCTATAGACCTTCATGGGGTTGGAAAGCAGAGACCTGCCTGGCAGGATCCTGACACAGAGGTGTCAGCTACAAGTACAGATTTCATCAGTCATGTCCCATTCTCGTTGTTTAACTGGAGAACACCACCTAAGGGACCTCACAGGGGAAACCTCAGAGCCAGGTTGTCTGCCAGTTTGACCACTCCAGCCCTCCCTCAGAGCAGTCCATGTGCAGCTTCTTACCCCTGCAGTCCCTTTCCTCTGTGGGTTTTTTGTCCTCTGGACCTCATGTTATAGTGCAGGGAACAACATTCTGAGTTCAGGAGCCAGAGGGACTTGGCAGGACAGTGTTTGTCTGACCAGAGGCTCTGCCTTCATTCTGTACAGGAAAGACTTTGAAATGAGTCAACTGAATTCAAGGATTGAAGATGGGCAAGTGACTGAGGCCCAGCTGCAGAAGAAGATCAAGGAGCTCCAGGTATGGTGGGAAAAATGATTCTCATAGCCCAGGAGTCCTCAACTTCCATCAAATGTAATGTGCTGGGGAGTCTGCGTGGGCCAGTCTCTCTCTGAGCACAGGGACATCTCCTTGGCAGAAGGGTGATTGAGAAGGTGTCACTGTTAGCAGAAGCCAAGCCCTCTGCCAAAATGTGGTGGACTGAAAACTAAAGAATGAACTATTGAGAGGAATGCTAGCACGAGCATGAGGAACAGCTTCTGGGATGTAATTCTCTGTCCAGTCTAAAACCTTAAATCCAGTGCCTACACTCTGATGATCCAAATTTAGGACACTGGGGTCCTTCCTAGTATATGCAGGCCCCCAGGTTCAGGTGGTGTGCATGGAGATTGCCCCTGAAGGGAGGCTATCATCAGCCTGGATCCTGACAGCAGGCTACAGAGGAG